GGCCCCGGAGGCCACCTGTGGACTCCGGCTACCTGGCTTTTCCAGATACAGTTTGTAACTTGGCAGTTTGGTTCTTTGAAGCCCCACAGGAGATCCTCTCTAACATCTGGGAGGGCCCAGTCTTTTTTGTAAAAGCTTTTACCTCATTAGGTCAGGCATACCCTGAATGGTCTCTTTTCCACGACTCAACATCAACTGATTTGGAATGTTAAATACACCTGCGAAAATCTCATCTTTGCCATATAATGTAACCCAATCACAGGAAGGAAATCCCATTCATGGTCCTGTCCATGCTCAAGGGTTGGGGACTACAGGGAACATTCCACCAGGGTGTGAGAAGCTTGGGGGGAATGGGGAGCTATCTGAGAGTTCTGCCTACTACACCCACCCTCCGAGAAGCAGAGATTTAGAAGAATAAAAATCACAGGTTCCTAGGAACTTTCAGTGTGAGACGAGTAGGGATGACAGAACTAACCTCATAGATGTGATTTGTACTTACTGACAATAAGGTAAAAATAAAAAAACGTTGAGGGGATCCAGTGCAATGGGTCTGTGAGGAGGAAAGCAAGGAGACAAGAGCTTTTGTCTAGGTAGAGATTGGTGTCATTTTTTCATCATTGCCTAGCCAGTCAGGAAAGCTTAGAAGGCTAAATCTTCTGTAAGAAGAAATTCTAGCTTTGGTGATTATTTTAGCATTTCCGTAGGAATGGAAGGGTCATCAGTGTTTGTGGAAATAGTTCCCAAAAGTCAGCTCTTCCTGCCCCTTAAAGAGTAGTTGCTACTTTTTAATATATATAATTAAGATTGAGAATTTTCTGGAAAATTTTCCAAAACCCGATACCAGAAGAAATAGAAAATCTAAACAAAACAATTATCATAGAAGAAATAGAAAATTTGTCAGTTAACCCTCAAAATGTTACAGAAAGAACATTTCATAGGGGCATTTTTACCAATCTCCAAAAAACTGCTATTTCTAGTGGTATTTAAACTGTCATTGACCATAGAAAAGAAGGAAAATAGGATGTTTTCTAATTCTATTGTAAAAGAAACGTTAATAACATTTAAAACTAAGAAAGATTGTGTCTAAAGTGAAATCACTGAGCAATCTCGTTCATATCTATGCAAAAATTGTGAACAAATATTAGCAAAAAAATCCAGTAGTAGCAGAGTTTAAAAAATGTATGTATATATACAGACACATACAACTCCTACTATGATCAAGAGAAGATTATTCCAAGAATATAAGAACAGTTCCAAGAATATAGGAACACCATATTTATTAATGTCACTCATATTAATAGATCAAAGGGAAAATTTCTTTAGTTATCTCTACATATCCTAAAAATACATTTGACAAACTATAAGGCCCATCCTTCCTAAAACCCCCAATAAAAATCAGATAACTAGGTACTGCCTTCACATGATAAAATACATCTGTCTCAAACAAAGACCCAGAATCATACTTACCAGGAAAATGCTAAAAGCATGTCTGTAAAGCCAGGAACTTTCAAGGACGTTTACAGCTGCCACTTTATCTATCATTGTCCTAGCAGTACTGGTCAACACAATTAGGTAAGAGACAGGGATGCCTCGTTAACACACTGGAAAGGCCAAATGATCACTTTTTGTGCACCTGGAAAATTTAAGAAAATCCTCTAAAAAAATTCTTTAAAAATAAAATTCAGTAAGGGACAAGATATGAAATTAAGACAAAAAAAATCAATATCATTCATACCTTTAAATAACAACCAGTTAGAAGATATGGCTGCATTCAAAACAACCATAGCAAGATAAAATAACTCAGAATAAAATTAATATAAAGAACTGTACAAGCTCTTTCTGAAGGAAACTTCAGAAAAATGCTCCCAAGAGACATAAAAATGACTTGAACAACAGCAAAATGGTGTATCAGGCTCTGGAATGGAAAGATGAATATAAAAAGTTACTGGTTCTTCCTAAATCATAAACAAAGTCATTTTCATACCCCGATGAAAAATTAGTTGTCAGTAATAGCCAGGAAACAAACTGACATAGAAAAATAAAGAGAAGTATCTGTTCCCCCATGGTATAGGTACTTAAGTAGATAAAAATATCTAGTGAAAGGTGCCTCAGTGGTGCTGTCAGTTAAGTGTCCAACTCTGGATTTTGGCTCAGGTCACGATCTCAAGGGGACCTTGAGGGACCTTGTGGGACTGAGCCCTGGACCGAGCCCTGCGTCTAGCTCCCCTGCTCAGCGTGGAGTCTCCTTCTAATGAATCACTGAACACTACATAAAAAACTAATGATGGGCTATACAGTCGCTAACTGAACATAAAAAAAAAAAAGATTCTCTCTCCCTCTGTCCCTCCTGCTTGTGCTCCCAAATAAATAAATAAATAAATAAATAAATAAATCTTTAAAAAATATATATCTAGGGGCACCTGGGTGGCTCAGTGGGTTAAGCCTCTGCCTTCGGCTCAGGTCATGATCTCAGGGTCCTGGAATTAAGCCCCGCATCAGGCTCTCTGCTCAGCAGAGAGCCTGCTCCTCCCCAACCCCGTCTCTGCCTGCCTGTCTGCCTACTTGTGATCTCTCTCTCTGTCAAATAAATAAATAAAATCTTTAAAAAATATAATAAATAAAAAATATATATCTAATAAAAAATTAGAAAGTTTAGGACTTGAGTAAATGACGAGTGTGTCATGTCTAATCAGCAGGAAAGAGAAGGATTACTGAATGAATGGTATTGTGACAAATGAGTAACCATGTAGGAAAGAAGATTTCCTTAATCCAGAGTTCCCACTAATACTAGGGTAAATTTCAGATGGATCTGTAATTTTAACATAAACATGAGACCATAGAAGTAATAGAAGAAACAACTGTAGAATTAACTTATAACTGTAGGGCTTTCTACCCATGACACAAAACTCAGTCAAAAGGCTGATAAATTTGACTATGTGAAAAAGAATGTACACAGTAAAAACCATTAGGGAAATGTTGTTTACAATTCATCACATATGATAAGCAGGCTTTCCTAGTAAATAAAGAAGTTCTCATAATTGATGGAGAGAAGACCATAACCCAGTAGACAAACGGATAAAGGATATAAATGGACTGTTCATAGAAATGGAAATACAAATGGCTCTTTGACATAAGAAAGCTTGCTCAGTTTCATTCATGATAAATTCTCTCAAAAGAGAGAATTTTTCTTTTGATGTCCACTATGTGCCAATAGTATTGGCCTTCTGGGTATAGGAGACACAGCAATGAGACAAAGAGAGACCTCTGTTCTCACTGAGCTCACATGCAGGTGGAAATGCAAAGTAAAGCTACACTGAAATGCTGTTTTCATCTACCAGACTGGTAAAAATCCAGAAGTTTAACATCATACTCCGTAGCAGGGGGCGATAGCCCTCCACATTCTTGCACTTTGCTAAGGTAAACTGGGAGGCTGAAGTGGTACAATTTCTATGATATGTAATTTAGCAATAACTATCAAAGTTACAAATGCATAAGCCCTTTGAGGCAGCAATCCTATTTCTAGGAATTTCTCCTATGGATTACTTACATAGGAGAGAAATGACATGTGTGCAATGTTTATTGCTAATGTGTTTGCAATATGGGATTAGACACAATCTAATAGGAGGGTGTTTGAAGACAGGATGATACATCCATACTATGGAACACCAGGAAATTTTAAAAAAGAATGAGGGAGCATTTATGGGGAAAGTTCTCCTAGATCATTAAATATATATACATATGTATAGTATGGTACCAATTGTGTAAAGAAAAACGAAAATAACATATGTACATATAAGTATATAAATCTATCATCTATCTATCTCTATCTGTCTATCTATCATCTATATATCTATCCACAAAAATCTAAAAACCTTGGTTGCCTGTAGCAAAAGAAGGAGAGAAGGGAAAGAATTATGTGATGTGTGTAGAAAGCAGTTGTCTGTAGGAAATGGGGTAAGAGGGAGACATTTTGCTGAATATCCCTTCATAGTTTATAAAATTTTAATCTTGTGAATGTATTCCTTATTCAGAAAATTAAGTCCAAAAAATAAACCTTTCTTATTAAATTTTTTTCTAATTTAAAGAATATAACTCTGAGAGATGGTTTGACAGTATTTCTACCTTGGTAATCTATACCAGTGTTTAGTCACCTTCATGAATAAGAAGGATGATATTCTTTTTTTTATGCTTGTAGAAATTCTAAAAAATTTAAAAAATTCTTTGATAAGCATCATATTCTTAATTACACTTAAATCTTCCCTTTTGATTTGTCTTCGTAAGAAGCAGCTGCTCAAACTTCTCTTAAAATTATAGGTCACCTCATTTCCATTCATGTCCAGGGCTTTGTATAAAAAGTAGAGACATCTGCGAAGCAAAAACCACATGTATTTTGTAAAACTCAAGTTTCAATATAAAAACTAGAAAAGCAAGGCCCTAGATCTCAGCGGAATGAAAAAGATACCATATGCCATGGGCCTGAAATTTTATCTCCTACCTTGAAGTCAGCTGCAGATAATATTAGAAGGATTTGAAGTCACATAGTCCTAGAAAAGTAGGAAAGATTAGAATTCATCTGATTTGGGACTTGGCTTCTTGGTAAAATTGTCCCTGAAATCAACGATGGTATTAATAAAAGTTCTTAGGGACCTATTTTAACAAAATGCAAAGAAGGAAATGTTTGCAGTCCATTTTCCCTACAAAAGTTCTTTTCTTTCTGCTTGACATTGTATGTAAAAAATGTTTTTCTCTACTTTGCTCCTCCTTATCCATGCCTTGGGTCTCGGTCTTATGCTTGGGAAATGGGGAGGAGAGGAGAAATGAAAGAAACAGAGTCAAGAGAAATGGGTTAATGGTGTCCCAGTTGTAAGCAGGAAATTTAGTGAGTGATGGAAATTGCCAATATCCTTGCTAGATGGAGGGCATGGTTCTCATAGTACACTGGAAAATGTTGTATCTGTTTTTGCATTGCTATCAACTAAACAGCTCTCCTTCTTAACAAACAGAGACCAAGCAGAGGCTGCCCTTGACTCAGGTCAAGAAAGGGCTTCCTCCAATACCGGAACTAGAAGTTTCTTCCACGGTGCAGCCGCAAGATCGGTATACACGGTGAGTGATGATTCAGCTTTACTGATGATTGGCCTTTGTTCATTATACATTGAAAGGTCCAAGGAGGTACAGTTCATCCCAACCTTCATTTCTATCTGGGTGCCGGAGACAAAAAGTGATGAGCTGCAAAAGCAGTTTGTATGAATTAGATGGCATGAAATAAACTCATGATTTCTTCCAAGGTCCAGGAAGGACCAATAAACAAAGCTATTGGTCTGTTAAACAGCAGGTGCTCCTGAGATGTCAGCTCATCCCTTGGCTGCTTCCTAGGCTTGGGCTGTACATAATGCCAGCAGGCCAATCATTGTTTCACTCTCAACAGGAGAGAAGAGAGAATGTGAATTTATAAGCACAACTACTGACTCTCAAGTACTGAAATTAAGAACTTCCCTGAATGTAACATCTGATGATCTAATTAATGTGTATTGATTTTCATGTGGTCAGAAGTGTCTTAGAAATATTTTTTATTCATTAAACACATATTTATTAAGTAGCTATTACGTTAAGGCACTATAGATAGCTATGGTATGGGGCATCAAAATTATAGCAGGGAAGAGGGAAGATGCTAGCATTTATCAATATCCTTTTATTGTGCTTTGTGGCAATAGGCTAGATCATTTACTTGTCTTTATTTTTTTTCAGTTTCAGGTGTAGAATTTAGTGATTCAAAACTTAAGTAAAATACCTGGGACTCATCACAACAAGTGCCCTCCTTAATCCCCATTACTGATTTCTCCCAACTCCCCATCCACCTCCCCTCTTATAACCATGCTTGTTTTCTATAGTTAAGAGTCTGTTTCTTGGTTTTTCTCCACCCGCCCCCCCCATTGGCTTGTTCTGTTTCTTAAGTTTGCATATGAGTGAAATCATATGCTATTTGTCTTTCTCTGGAAGGCAAAATAAGTCTTTGACTTATTTTGCTTAATGTAATACTCTCTAGCTCCATGAGCTTTCTTGTGAATGGCAAGATTTCATTCTTTTTTATGGCTGAGTAATATTCCAGTGTGTGTGTGTGTGTGTGTGTGTGTGTGTGTGTGTGTACACCACTATTTACTCTTCATGATACCCGGGTAGTTATCAGTCAAGAATCTAGCAGGAAACTAATAGTATACTCAAAGGGAATCATTTGAGGTGAGTTTTAAAAAAGGTCTATTAAGTCAGGATGTGAAAAAATCCAAAAGGAGAGTACAGCACCCTAAAATTAGTAATAGGGGGGCTCTGCTACTCTCCCTAAGACTACAGGGGCAAGGAACCCAGAGAGACAAAGACAGAAGCAGGCGCACACACACTCACACACACTGATGGAATATGTGGGGAGGCTACCTGATAGGGACTGTGACTTTTAGTCAAGTGACACAACAGCCTGTGAGTGCCCCGAAAAGAGTACTTCACTTTGGCTGTTCCCTTTCCCCTGATGTGCTAGTACTCACCATTGGTTACACCTAAGCAAAGCTGGGGGATACTGTAGCTGGATTGAGGCAGTTCATATGGATTGGTCTCTCAGGGTACCAGAGAGGGCGGAAAAAAAAATAGAGTACAGGGGCACCTGGGTGGCTCAGTGGGTTAAAGCCTCTGCCTTTGGCTCAGGTCATGATCCCAGGGTCCTGGGATCGAGCCCCGCATCGGGCTTTCTGCTCAGTGGGGAGCCTGCTTCCTCCTCTCTCTCTCTGCCTGCCTCTCTGCCTACTTGTGATCTGTCAAATAAATAAATAAAAATCTTTAAAAAAAAATTGAGTACAATCTAGAGAAGCAACCAGAGGGGTCAAGCATAGGGAGCTCAATATGTCAAACTAGAGAGAAGCAGGTCTTAGTGTTTGGGTCTTAGTGGAATCAGAGTCCTCTATTGGCTCAGAAATTGCCAGGTAGACGAATGTCATCATAGAACTGTTTTAATGAAGTATTATGCTTGATAACCTCTCATACTGGTCCTCATTCTGGGGTGCTTGACCATGCATATGAAGCAATCTCCTTTGTTCATTCACCTGATGCTTTTTGAGCACCTACTGTATGTCCAGAAGTCTGCTACTCATTGACAAAATAAAATGCAGTCAGTGGGGAAATCAGATTGAGGAATCCTAATTTCAATAGAGTTCCAATAACATGATAGACGTGTGCACAGAGGACTCAGGGAGCATAATGGAGAGACCCCTTCATTCAGAGGAAATGCTGTCTGGCATTTAGTAGGTGTTCAGTGAGTATATGTTGAATGAAGGAAATTTTCACGAACACCTACATTTTCATTTTATAGAAGAGGAAATTAACCCAAACATACTGTAGTGACAAGCTCAAGAAGACTCTAGGTCTCCTGAGCCCTAGGCTGAGAAGTTTGTTACCACTAACCAGAGTGTTCCTAGGTTTATAACGGAGGCTCCATTGCCTAACACAGGACTGGAAAGAGCTCTTAATCAGTGATAGTGGGGAGTGCCTGGGTGGCTCAGTTGTTTAAGCATCTGCCTTTGGCTCAGGTCATGATCCCAGGGTTCTGGGATCCAGCCCTGGGTCCCGGAATCCAGCCTGCATCAGGCTGCCTTGTGAGTGGGGACCCGGCTTCTCTGTCTGCCCATCCCCCCAACATGCATGCTCTCTCTCTCCCTCTCTCTCAAATAAATACAATCTTTAAAAAAAAGGGATATTGGGAAGTTTTTTGGTGATTCTTGTAAGACACAATTTTGATAAATGATTTTAAAATTATTCTCCACTAATTCTTTTCAGGTAACACTTAACATTTTTGTGGTAATAATATTTGTCTTTTTTTCCCCTTCAATCTTCAGAATATCCTTCTGAATTCCTCTGGACCACTTGGACTGAACCCTTTTGAAGAATACTCATAATTTCATTTTGGGAATGAGTGAACTAGTAAATATATGGGTCCAGCTGAGGATTCACAGTAGGAAACAGTAACAATGCTGACTGGTTGATGGAAACTGGCTTGAAAGCAGTCATTTGACCCAAGAGATCAAAGAAACAAGAATTTTTCCAGGAAGCCATCATGAGTCATGGAAAACAAGCTGATAAAACCCGTGGAAACAACACGGGCATGCTCACTGTCCTTGCTTATCTGTTAATTATACAGCTGACAGTGACCCCAAGATTTTGATTTTGAAAGGAACCAAACCCAGGATCAAGGATGAACATCTTTTCTCTCATTTGCCCACATTGCACATTCTGCCTTGATGGGTTTTCTTATACAGATGGATTGTTTCTTTTTGGCAAATTACTTAAGAGGGCCTGGGTTGTTCATTGATATATTTGTTCGGATTTATAAATTCTGCTTCCTTTTGGCACTGAGGATGTTTTAAAAAACTTCAAAGATACCAAAATAAAATGAATTTAAATGAAATACTAAGTGAAGCTTGGATATTTAAATCTAATAGCAAAATGTTTCTTCTGATTCTTCTTGGTGTTCATATTTTCCATAGCTATCACTGATGTCAAGAAAAATTATAGCTATTAATTACAATAAAACACATATAGACAAGAGGGCATCTCTTAACATTGAAAAACATAAAAATATCTTTCCAAAGTATCGGTGGAATTTAATCTCCTGGCATCATTATATGATTACAATTGCTTGTCTGAGCAGATTTCTATGGTTTAACTGCAGGGTCAGATTTAATATTAAGCAACCTAACAGGAACGAATGATTCAGCACACAGAGGTTTTCCCTGCTACTCTTTTTCTTTTCTTTCTTCCCTCCCCCCTTCTCCCTCCCTCCTTTCCTTTCCTTCCTCCCTTCCTTTGTTTCTTCCTTCTTTCTTCTTTTCTTTCTTTCTGTTAGATCACAAAGTGAGATCCTAATCATAATGTTCAGGGATTGAAGATTTGGCAAATGGACTTCTGGTAGTCTCATTTTTTATTGCCTCTGTAAACTTGATTAACAGGTGAGTCAGGCTCAGCTCTGGGATTATCCAGCAGGAGTTTAGGAGTATCACACTCCTTGAGGGATGGATGTTATACTGTTTCTGAGAGGCCAAATTATTGTTTCCTTGCACATTGCCTATTATGTTCAGACAAATGACTTGAAAATCAATGGGAACTTGGCTTACAAAAGGCATAAATTAAGCCTCAAATTCTGTTAAATTGTGGCAGCTTTCTGGAAGCTAATTTCGCTTATTTGTTGAAATAATAGACTTTAATAGATAGTATGAAGTGTTCGAACATGTAGATGACCTGCTGTCTGCCTACAAAGAGTGTATAATCTGATAGGGGAGACTGAGCTTGCATACTACTAGTTATAATGCTAGACACAATAGGGGAAGACAAATGTCATTTACGTGCTCCATGCTTCTTTCTGAGAAGTGACAGTCCAGCGAATCATATCCGGTTGGGGGTAAGCAGAGTAGGCTTTTCAAGAAAGTGGGTGTAAGCAGCATTGAAGATGGTTTTTCTTGATCTTTCAGAAGAGGTCAAACTTCCCAAGTATACACTTTCTCAGCCCCCATAGTCCTTTTCATATCTATTATTTACACTTATTTTCATGGTTATTAATTAATTCTGTTGCCCTTTCTAGACTGATTTCACTCACCATAATATTTCTGGCAGCTGGTATGATTCTTGGTTCACAGAAGCTTCTTAATACATATTTGTTGGATAAGAAACAATGTACTGAACCCCCATACATCAGGCATGTGCCCTGCATAGTCTCACTTCCTTACAATGACTCCTGGAGACAGATGTTGTTGTCCCTAAGAACTGAGGTCTAAGAAGCTCACCGATTTGCCTATGGTCTCAGGAGTAATATGGATTCAGTCCTAGGTTGAAGTGTATAAAATACACTTTGTACCCACTCTTTAATAAAGCCAAATTTTACAAAAGACATATGTCATATGAATTGCATTTTCCTTTCTCCTTCTGTCAGTAGATGGCTTCTGTCTGTCTGTCCTCTCTTTTGCTCTCCCAACTATATTTCTTTCCCTTCATGTAAAACATGGTAGAATAAAGGCTTGGACTCAATTATCTGACAATTTATTCTCATAATTTGACTTTGATTGCTTCCTTCTCTGTTTCTTTTTGATTTTGCCTCTCTTCTTTGTCTACATCTTTCACAACCATCCCTAACTATTGGTGTTGTCCTGATGGGTGGTGATCTTAGGATAATGAGTGGAAGGAAGGTCTTAAATTTTTAAAATCTAAATAAGATATATTATCAATTAACCTACAGGTATGATAACCAAAGATGCATTAAAAACCCCTCTGTGAACTGGAAATCACGTACTTTAGTAAAGACAAAGTAGTCTAGATGTTTCTGTGATTTGAAGGACAAAATGAAGTACACATGCATGGGAAAGGGGAAATCAGAACATTTTGATAAAAATATACTTCACAAAATTCTCTGCATGTGTTATTTTCCTTCCTGAGAGTTAAGGCTGTTCCCAGAGGGGAATATGGATTAAACATGGCTGCTGACTGGAAGACAATAATTTTGCATGTTATCAGTTGAGATCCTTACATCTGTAAATAATAAGAGGCCCAAGTTAAATGCCTTAAATGATAAGATTTATTGTCTTACCTAATGGGAATTCTGAAGAGAATGCTTGCAGAATTGGTGAATTCAAGAACTCCCACCAACATGCACCCAAGTTTCCCCCCCACCTTCCTCTCTGCCATCATCACCTTACTGGCTTTTGTCCTCAGGTGTTCCCTCTTGCGGTTTCAAGAAGACATGGAAAATGGTGTCACAGCGTGTTCAGCAATCATCATATCCTTAGCCCATAATGTCCTTTTTAAGAGTAAAGTAACCTTTATAAGAAGACTCCCCAGATTTCTCCTCACGTCAGAGCATCTGGAATTGGATCACGGATGCCATCTTAAACCAACCAATGATAAAGGGAATGGGACCATTGTGACAAATTTAGAAGGGTCAGTAATTGCTGGTTCTTAAGGAGGGGAGAGGAACTGACTATCAGAATCAAAACAGGGCTCTGCAATATTGGCTGTTACTTCCATATTACAATACGGAAGAAGAGGAAAGACGGCAGGTGTCTCCTCAATTCCACGGAGACGTACAGAGAGAAACTGGCTGAAAATAAAACCCAGGCTTGGTTTCTCCCTCAGAACAGTCTCTTGGAGCCTGCTAAGGCTATTCTTCAAGTATGTGCTATTGCCCAAAGTTTCGGGATGGGTGCACACTAAGTTGTCATGGTGTCATAATCTCCCTGTAAAGTTATGTTTATTTTCAGATGGACTGTAAAAATAGCCCATCTGTTCTCACACGGAAAAGTGGCATCAGTGTGTGACATTACAAAAGCAGGCACAACATCCGTAGTGAAGAGCCACACAGTAGACATCATTTTTCTTTCATTACCTTATGCCAATTTCCTCTTAGCGAATTACCTCTCACCCATGGAATGATGTCTTGATGGGACTGTAAATCAGAGTTTCTTGCCAATCAGCCAAGGGGTGACCTGTGGCCAGAGCTAAACCAATTTGACCCTCTATGTCAGGGCTTTGATTTGTATGTGCAGTGATATACGGGTGGAAAAATACCTTGGGCTTATTTGTTCCATCAGCAGAGTTGAGTCATTCCTGCTTTTAGATGCCCAGTATACCCCGAACTCCCATCAAAATGCCTTGGTTCTGAGCCTGGCTCTCCAATCTTCCTTTTGATTCTGTGAGCTACCAATAATATCTTTGTAAGAAGATCCTCTTCCTGCTTAACTTTCCAGACTTGGTTTCTGTTGCTTACTGAATATAACTTCTAACATCTATTTTATTTCGTAAAGTCAGGATGTCTGAGCTGTAGGAAATCTTAGAGATCATCTGGGTAATGCCCTCATTTTACAGCTGAGGAAACCGAAGCCCCAGAGGTGGAATTTTTCAGCCAATTTTGTTTCACAGACTGTCTGTGACAGAACTGGGATTAAGACAAGGTCTCCTTTGCCCAGGATCCTGGAGTCTGCTTTTTATTTTAATTCCTTTTTGGTACAAACCACAGTCTCCTTCTCTATCTTTTCCCCCTCTCTCTGTGCAATGCTTAATAGAAAATGTGGCCTAAAAAATCTTCATTCCTCCCTCCCCCAAATGACGACTTGCTTTCTATAGTTTAAAAACTCATTTCAGAGATAGTCCTTTCTGGGATTTGGCATCTGGGAACAACAGGCATTAGTTTATATCCTTATATGGAGCCTTGATTCTTCCCAGCTGTCTTTAAATGTTTATTTCCCCCTTACATGAAAATAATATTGGGAAAGGAAGTGGTTTGCTCTATGCAAGTGTATGGGCTGAGGTTCTCAAAGTGATTACTTACCACTTCCAAGTCTGACTTCTAGCTGTGTGCATTCGGGGAGAACTTTCCTTTACGTACACTAAAAGATATATATCTGCCCTATCTTTTTCGGTTGATTTAGGGCAGTCATAGCTCATACAAACACCGCCAAAAGGGCCAACTGTTGGGGTAGGAGTTGGGGAGGAGATTAATAATAATACGTAGTCTCCCCTTATCTGTGGGGGATATGTTCCAAGACCCTCAGTGGCTGCCTGAAACTGTGGATAGTACCAAATCCTTTGTAGACTATGTTCTTTCCTACACAAATATACCTCAAATTTAATATCTAAACTAGGCACAGCAAGAGATTAACAACAATAACTAATCATTGAGGATATTTACATGATAATAATATGACTATAAAAGTAATTATAGTATATTATTATATATCATGTTATTACATATTTATTATATTATACATTTATTATATTATTATATTATAATACAACTATAATAAAAGTTATGAGAAGATGGTCTCTTTTGAAATAACTTACCATACTGTCCTTACCTTTCTTCTCGTGGTGGTGTGAGATGACAAAATGCCTCCTTGATGAGATGAAGTGACGTGAACGACTTAGGCCTTGTGATGTAGTGTTAGGTTACTTTTGACCTTCTGCCGATTCTTCAGGAGGATCCTGTCTCCAGACCACCGGTAACTGATCCCAAGGAAAGTGGAACCCTGGATAAGGGGGAGAGACTGTAGCACTAATTACGTGCCAGCCACTATTGTAAGTACCTGGCAGGGATTAGTTAATTGGTTTTGTCTCATAACACTCACAGCTGTACCTTCTAGTCCCCTTTTGGAGAGATCCAACGCATAGTAACAAACTAAAACGTTTTCCATGTCCATGGTTTACTAATGGTGAAACAAAGCTCTCATGAAAATTCTTTTCCTTCCCAATGATCCCTAAAGACCAGTCTTGGATCAGGAGGTAAGGACTATAGTCAATCACCCTCATTTACAAGTGAAAAAAATTAAAGCAAAGAGAGGTTAAGTAACTTACTCAAGGTCACGAAGCTATTAAGTAGCAGAGTTGAGGGGAGCCTGTGGTGGATTAAGTCTCTGACCTGGTTTAGGCTCAGGTGGTGATCTTAGGGTCCTGGGATTGGACCCTGCCTCAGGCTCTACACTCAACACAGAATCTGCTTGAGATTCTCTCTCCTTCTCCCTCCCACTCATTCTCTCTCTCTCTTAAATAAATAAATAAATCTTTTAAAAAAATTTTGTAAAAATAAGTGGCAGAGTTGAGATTTGAACATGGGTAGTCTAGGTTTCAAGCTAAATGCTCTTAACCCTGTAGTCTGTTGCACCTTAATCATCTCTTTATGTAGAGAAGAGTAGTTTCTTTTCCTTAGGAAAAAAGGGGTCCAAAACAGACAAATGACTTTCATAAACACTTCTAACAGGGCTTCTGTATCATGAATCTCTGTGTTTCAACAATGCTTGGAGGGTACACTACAAACAATACTCTACCATAAGAACCGCTATGGTGCAAATGCTTCTCCTGTGTCTACCCATGTACCGAAGTACTTCCACAGAACTGAATTATTTGGTGGCTGTGAGAAGAGTTGCACAGAAAGAAGCTTTCAGCTCTTCATCAAACAGACTTAACAAATAACTTTCATCAATTACTTAAAAGAGTTAAAATCTTTTCACTCATCTCATGATCCCTATGGAGAGAGATAGTAAAGACAATGCAAAAACACCCAAATATTGATAAAGAAAGGCAGTGAATCAAGTACCTGGACCATCCCTTTCTGCTTACTGATTTCCAAAACACATTTTTTGACTTGAAATTTGCTATAGAGAGACTGGAAATCATCTCTATTCCCCTCCCAATTTTGGCAAACAGACAATAAAGATTTTATTTTTAAACAGTGTACCATAACAAAGTTTCATTATGTCAAAACAAACCAACAGGGCTTAATAATTACATCATAGTGAGATTTTTTTCTTATTTTATTCTTTATTCAGAGTGAAAGATTCAGTAGAAAAAATTTCAATAGAAAAATAATTCAGTAGAAAATTTTATAAACTTTCTATTTTATTCTAGCTATCTAAATAACAGACTAATGCTAGAAGAAAAGTTCTCCATTATTCAGTAATTATTGCTTTTTTTACAGAACAATTAGATTAATGTGAGCAAAAAGGATCTTTTTCAATCGCATGATTTAGTGCCAGAAATTCCATCAGAGACAGAAATCATAGGCCATATTCTATACAATGTGCTCATTTGAATGGAATGGCTAGTGGTCGAGGGGTAATAGGGAGGTCAGACAAGAAGGAGAGGGGCACTATTCTGCTTCTCTTGGAAACCAGTTGTACGAGCCCTGGGACCCAGCTTGGCTACCAGTGCCCTAAATTCCTGTTTAATTAATACCACCACAATATTTGAGTGGTATGGAACCTCCCCTACTATCTCAGCACCTAGTCTTAATTTTTATTAGCAGTTTTTTCAATGAAATTTAATTGGAGTACATTACCCATTAAAGCTTTGGACAGGCTCCCTTTTGATTATTAACATATTGCTGATGTGGAGGTCTTTTAGTTATTCATCCATTTGTTAATATAACAGCTACCTTATTCCAGACACAGTCCCACAGCCGAGACAGGTAACCTAAACAGTTAGAATGCAGCCTGGAAAGGACGGGGCTGGGGTTTAACTCCTTGAGGAACTGGTTTCATCCATCTTTGAAAATCCAGTACCAAACTAGATGCCTGAATTGGAAATTAGCCAATTAGTGTTTGTGGACTTAATGAAGAGAGTACTATGGGAACTCAGACAAGGGGCACCTAAATGAAGAAGGAAGACAGAAGTGAGGGAAGACTTCCTGGAGAAGGGGACACAATCTGAGTCTTAAAGGATAAGTTGGCCAGGGTGGAAGGAACACATATAAAGGCACTTGGGTAATGATGTACAGAAAAGGGGGCCCTACTTTAAGATCTACGTGTCCTTCAAATATACAGACAGACAGACAGACAGACACACACACACACACACACACACACACACACACACAAATGGGCTGACATGCAGGAGATAGAAGTATGCTTTCTTTGCAAATAGTAATAACTATGCTATTCTCTATTTCAAGGACATTGCACTAATTAATGTGTGACAGAGATGGGCTTTGTTAAGCTTTGGAATGTCAGAGTTCTGCAGGGGAAATTGACAATACTGTGATCTATTGTGATATTTTCCACACTATATAATTTGAGCTTGTAACTGCTTAACCAATTAAAGATTAAGCAGGTAGGTAAATGCTACTGCACAACTGAAAGAATGATTTATTACAGCAAAGGATATTGGAATAGAGGGAGGACAGATTGCAATCAGAGGAGCACCACTGCAGGGTGCTATTAACTGGTGCTCCCGAACGAGGCTTGCCTGTCCAACCTGGAGAAAAGCTGCACCTTAAATCCCCTTTTAGAGAGTTCCAGTGTACAAGGTTTGGAAAGTTCCTGCAGCTGAAAAAAACTGGGTGTCTTTGGGGGGGGCGCTTATTAATGGTTGAACATGCTTTGCAGGATTTTTTTTTCCCTTCTCAGTTATCCCTAAATTCCAGTTTTTGAGTCATTGCAGTAAGAAAAGACTGAGACACTGGAGGATTTATGGAATTTGATCCCACTTTTGGGGTTATACTACAGCCAAATTTTAAAAATTCAGGCAAAAAGCAATTCCGTTAAAGGACACTTTCTTTTGTGCTAATGGTGTTATACTGATTTTGGAATGCGTTGTTCTATGATGTCATCAGTACTGTTCAATACTTCAACCCATGAGGGTCCTTCATGGGCTCCAGTCAATGCACAGTGGCAGTTGCTATAGTTGCTATGTTCAATTGCCACTACATAGAGGTAAGAGAGGGTATGGTGCCAGGAGCAGCCCACAAGAATCTCTGTGAGTTTGACCCTTGAGTTGGTGAGGAACTGATGAAAGTGCTGGAAAATGGAGGATCAGACTGTAAAGGTTTTTGTTTGGATGTTTTCCAGAATGCTGAGGCCAGCCAGTGAAGGTTTTAATCAGGGCAATAACCAGACTTGCACTCTCAGAGATTCCATGCTGACACCACCTCCTTGGATGGGGCTGGGACCTGTCCTGACATCAGGTTGGTGTTATGGAGGAGGAGAAATAATTTCCCCTCTACCCTTCTGAGTTCTTAGCTGAGACTTTTGTAATAAAAGTCAGAGTAACAAGAGAAAAACAAAAGGAAGTTTATTAACTTGTAACCTCATGTAACATTAGAGATACCCAGGGGAAAATGAGTAACTCGAAGAGGTGGCTTCGAATTCAGGCTTATATGCCATCTTAGTAGGGAAAGGAGAAGGTGATATAGGCCTCTTAGGGGAAAGTAAATGATTTTTAGGAAAGATTAGTGGGCCCTTAAAAGAACAGATGGGAGGTATGATAGGTTGTGACGAAGTCTGTCTGTCACTTCTAGTCTCGTCAGTAATAAGAATCAATCTTCTCTGGTTGATCAAATTCCAGGGGAAGGGATTTATGACAAGTGAGTTCCTTTTTGGGGCTCTGTCTTTAGGCAGATAAGAGAGCGCAGAGAACACCTTTCCCTGCATTTGCTCTTTTTCAAGGGCCTACAGCTCAAAATGATCAACGTACCAAAGGAGCATATTTTGGTGTGGCACATCCTGAGCTCCTACAGTCATATACGGGGGCACCATGTTCTGTTACCCTTCAATATCTATCACACTAGTCCATAGAAAGGATAAGGAGAAAGTGAAACAAGACTGAGGCAATGAAATGGAGAAAGATATACAAAGAAGTAAGCGATAGCACTTGGCAACTGATCCGATATTGATGGTAAAGAAAAGCAGCAGCCTAGGGTGACAGCTAGGCTGCTGGCAGAGGTAACACTGTGCATCCAACAGAGAATGTAGGAGGAGAAGGAAAGATGATGGATTCAATTTGGATGTGTTCAGATTACATTTAGTGGTATATTCAAATACTGATGTACAGATGTCTGGCAGGAAGGCAACTCTGGTTAGAATTTAGGAGTGATGTCAGGGTTCCAGGTAGAAATTTGGGTGGCATTAGCATACAGGTGAATGTTTACAGAAACCAAGGATATACCTACTGGATTTCTTGGCTCAAACTGATTTACCTAATTTGGGATGGGAGAAGGCAGAGTGAATTTCAAATTGAACCTAATTTTATTTTAACAATAAATGTTGTGGACCTACTGGATAGATAGATGAATGGATGGATGATTGAATGAATGAAGGGTATACTTATGCCCTTCATTCCTATACCCTGTACCATTCCTATACACCTATACCCTGAAAACCAATAGACATTCTCTTTATCTCATGATTTGTTTCAGTTTTAGCTCTGGTTAAGAAAAAGAATGACTGCCTCAAAGATGCAAAAGGACAACATTTGGATGCAAAACATGGAGGACTTTATTAAGCTAACTAATTTCAGCCCATGTGATGTATATTATTCTCTTTAGATATCCATGACCTAGCAATGACTGACCAACTGCTGCTTTCGCAGCAAATGCAGATGGAGATGACCAGCCAGGTGACAGACTCAGTTCCACTCAGCAAGCAAACATGCTATTTTGCACATGACGTTGCTTGAGTAAATGTGAGTCTTCACATTCCTCACTAAAGACCAAGTGATTTTAAAGGAAAGAGAGATGTGGGATACCAAGCATTGGCTCGTAACACCCATATCTTACATAAATGGTCATACTATGGTCCCAGGGGCTGCAGGACCATCAAGACTCCTTAATAATCAACCACAACCCCATGAAGGCAATGAATGTCCAGGGCAGGGTGGAAGCAAGTCTTTCATTACCACTGATGGATAATTTTTACCTTCTAGGGAAAGGTAGTTCTGAGCCTTCAAGAATTGTTGAGGAAATGCTTAAAATGTACAGTTGTGGCCCAAAGTGGCCAAAATGTTTTCCCACCTCATTACTGGCACCATATAGTTTGGGCAATGCCAAATAAATTACAAATCCATTTTGTAGTCAGGAAGGTCATTAGGACTCAGATTCGTTATCCACTGAGAGTTTCCTCTGCTTTCCGTTTATTACTCTCCTTTGAGTGAAATGGAGCT